CAGGGGCGTGCCGTGACATTTGATGATAGGGAAGCTGTGTTTCTATAAGAAGCCGACATCCAGGGGCAATCAGTTAATTCTTTCTTTAAATGTATTTTTAATAGATTATTTATCTGACGTACTTAATAAACAAGTTCATTATAATTACCTCTGTTATTAGATCCGATATATTCCATACGCCCTGTAAATGCCAATTCTTGCTTTGATAAAAACATATAACATCTATTTATTTAGATATAATATATGTATTACCCATAATTATCTCGTTATAATTTTCAATATTTATTTTATATTATTTACTAATGTTAAATTCTATTCCGCTTCGATTTCCAAATTGCTTCAAATACGAAAGAATCGACGATTTTTCGTGTCTTTTGTCAGCTAAATTGTCAAAGCCATTCTTATTCCACACACTAATTTCATTTGAAAATAGTACGCAAGCCAACAAAACAATTTTTGCATTTACAGAGCCATTTTATCGTGAAAATGTCGAACAAATTTTTTTTATTCAAGTGTTTATATTTAACTTAGGCATTGGCTTTTCTCTTTTAATAATGTTTTCTTTTTCATTATATGATCTTGAACCAAAACTTTTTAAAAATAAATTTTCAATATCGCAATTACATTCCGAATCGCTAGCCACGATATAAGGGCTAAAGTTAAAAATAAAATTATAATAACTTACTCGGTGAAATAAAATGTGTGGTGGATATACATACCTGGTACAAAACATTCTTCAATTGTATGAATATACTTTTAAAGAAAATTATAATTAAATATAGCTTTGTAATGAAACGTACATAAAAATAACATAAAATATTCTTTACTCTTTAAATCTTAACCACTTACTCAAATAGCTCCCTACGAGTGGAATCAGAGACGGTCCTGCTAGATGTGCGTTGTATACATGCAAGCGGGCTGCCAAATCCCGAGGGTACCCATACCGGTCAATTTCAAGTGCCTCTTTTGTCGCATCACTAATATACCTTAACAGACGCAACAGGGTTCTTGTAAATTTTAAACGTTTCTCACAATAGCTGTAAAAGTCTAAATATGTTAAACTTAATAGATTGTCCGTCTTTTGTTTTCTAACTAATTCGTTTCAGGACCAGGGGCCATATTCTGGTCACTGTCTCTGGTCTCTCGTCAGTGACCAGAATATGGCCCCAGGTGTTGTCCACGGAAATTTCCAAAATTTACAACTTTTCGGTCACTCTCGTTGAACTGGAAAAATGTCTGTCTTTATTACATCTAATATTTCGAAGAAATCAGTCCTACTGTACTCGGCTAGAAATTGGTTCGGTTAGGCTTTTGTTTAAGTGAAATTTTGGTCTTTCATCAGGGTTTTGTTTTTGCGTTTCCAATTCTTTAATCGCTTAATTATTTAACTACTTCTTAAGTAGAAATAAGTCGAAACCGGTTACTTTGTACTCGAATATTTGTAGTCTCGGGAAAAA